AATTGCAATGTGTCCTTTGATTTCTTGACTGCACCTTCCATGGCAGTCATGATTCTACTTATGATAATTTCTGCCTTTAGGGTTGGGTTTTGTGTGTTTTTTTTTAAATGTAATTAATTTTGTTTAGGCTTTCCCAGTCTATCATAGAAAACTCCAGAATGCATGTCTTCCCAGAGAAATAAACTTTTGTTTTGTTTTGTTTTCCATTGGGACTTTTTTTTTTTGTAGCTGAGCATGAAAGGTTGATATTTCCAAGAGTATTTTTTTTTAAATTTTTAGTCTTTAAGGGAGTGGTAGGCTTTGGCAGTCCGGCTGTTGACAAAATCTGTCTTCTTAAATTGAGCCTTCTTGTAGGAGTTATCGAGTTCAGTGTGGGTCCACAGAGAATACAGCAGCACGGAAGCAGCTTTAGTTGCCTTGTTGGGTGCGTAGGCATCGCCTGTGCTGATGGCCATAATTTTCTGGAGGCCTCCAGTGTTTAGAAGGTCCCGGGCATTCTGGTAACTATTTTGGATGATATTGTTTAATATGTAGCAGGCAGAGGCTGTAGTTTCAATGAGAAGGTCAATACTTGGAACTGTGTCAGGAATTATAGAAACCAAATCAGGTAGCGTTTCTTTGGCAATTTCATTCTGCAGAGAAAGGTTCCTAGACAAATACCTCAGCAAGGAAATGGCAGCTTTCCTCACACTTGGGTCACCGATGTGCAACATCTTCCGGGTGTGCTGCAGGCCATTCTCCTTCTGGACAACCGTCTGTGCTACTGAAGTCGGCATTGGTCCACTTCCTGCTGTGAGATTCTGCAGTGCTCCCAAAGAGGCTTCCTGTGTGTAGTTTCGCGCGCTCTTGGCAATCAAGGACGGGTACATGCGTATCACGATGGAGTGCAACAGCCACTCTACACCTTTGGGGTTGCTCTTTTCCTCTGGCATTGGCAGGTCCTGGTATTGCTCTTTCATTTTTCTGCTCCGATTCCCAAAACACCCAATACTTTTGTTGTTGTCCATCTGGATATTCCGGTTCTGAATATAGTTACTTTGAGACTATTTCTATGCACATCTATGCACGTCTTCTTCACAACCCAACTCTCAGCACTTACAAAATTACCTGATGTAAAGAAGGAGCTTAGTAGACAGTTGTAAATAAATGAATAACTTAGGTTAGGAGTGTGAGTAGATCTTGCTTCTGCTAAATGACTCCTTGATCATCAGCGTGACCTGACCGCCAGTTCACCTCTAATGTACGTAAGGATTTCATCCTCCTGAAATAGCACTGATCTTTCCCAGAACTTCAAATTCTCTTAATAAAAATTTCCCATTTCCTCCTGTTCTTTTTCTTATTTATCCACAACAATCTGAACATGTTGAAAAGCAACCTTTTCAACCTGTATGCAGAACAGATGATCCAGGAGGCTCGGCTCTATGAGGAGAAGTGTGGAGTCAAGACTGGTGGAAAATCTATCAACAATCTGCGGTATGCAGATGATACAACCATGCTTGCCGAAACTGAGGAGGACCTGAAGCAACACGGATTGAGGCTCAATGTCAAGAAGGAAAAGATTCTCACCACTGGACCAATTGGCAGCATATTTTAGAGATTGAGCTTGTTCACAGCTTTAATTTGCTTGGCTCCACAGTCAACACTCTCGGCACCAGTAGCCAGGAAATTAAAAGGCGTATTGCCATGGGAAAGTCTGCTGTTAGGGACCTCTCCAAAGTACTGAAGAGCAATGGTGTCTCTTTGGAGACTAAGGTGTGCCTGATACAGGCCATGGTCTTTGCTATCACTTGTTATGTATCAAAGAGTTGGACAATGACTAGGGAGGATAGAAGGAGAATTGATGCTTTTGAGCTGTGGTGCTGGAGAAGAGTATTGAAGGTGCCATGGACTGCTAGGAAAACAAACAGATTCATCCTGGAAAGGGTCAAACCGGGCTGCTTCTTGGAGGCAAGGATTCTAAGTCTCTGTCTAACATACTTTGGACATGTTGCAAGGTGGGACAGGTCCTTGGAGAGGGACATCATGCTTGGTAGGTTGGAGGGACAGCGCAGAAGGGGAAGGCCCTCTATGAGGTGGATTGATTCAGTGACTGGGGTAACTGGGATGAGTGTATCAGAGATGGTGCGATTGGCACAGGACAGAGCAGAGTTTAGGGCTGTTATGCATAGGGTCACTATGCGTCGCAAGCGACTTGAAGGCACATAAAAAAAAACAACAACATCTGAACATGTCAATTTACCATTTGTGTTTTTTAGTATTTTACACTCTCTAACATATTGGTGTGTATTATTACTTTTACTGGCCCTATTTTCTGCTTCTCTACCATTAAATCCCAAACTACTATTCATTGCTGTCAAGCAGGTTCCAGATCACATTAGGTGATCACATTCTTTATTAAGTGTCCAAGTCTGTGAATTACATGAGAGGAGATGGCCCATCATTATTTCTTCATGTGACGGGTGATTCAAACTGCCCAAGAAGTTCAGTCTCTGGATTAGTAGTACAGCAAACTATGGACTACTATGACTGCCTCTTCTGCCATTAGATGATTATTGTTCTCACTTATAATGCCATATGCCTGCTTTCCCTTAAAAAGTGGCCAGACATTACTTACCATTAAGACCCAGAGCCTCTGCCTCCACTTTAATAAAGTGCCTTTCTTCATCCCCCCACTGAAAATAGAGAGGTAGCACTAGTGGTCATTGACAGAAATGTACAGCATCGGAGAAGATGATTCAAATTTTTTGAGCCTGGGTTTCTTTACTTGTCAGATGAAGTAAATTACACTTTCCTTTTGTGAAGTAAATTAAGCAATGAATTTAAGCCACCTCTTTCCTGGCACATAATGTGTTTGTTGTTGAGTACAGAATAAAACTCATTGACATTGAGATGGATCTGACTCAGCATTTTTCTCTTAAATAAAGATGGGTGATTTTGAGCTGCTGATTTTTTTATTGTAATCTGACACTATGCCACCAGGGCTCCTTACATACTTAATATATGAATTATAATTGTTGTTGTTGTTGTATGTGTCATTGAGTCACCCACTACTTATAGTGTCTCCATGCACAAAAGCTCTGAACTCTGCCTTATCCTGAGTTAATCTCACTGTATTTTATACCTCCGTGCCCCCCAAGATCCCAGTCACTATGCCAATCCATCTCATTGGATTTTTGTGTCCTGTAATGTCCTTCCACTCTTCCAAGCATGATGTCCTTTTCAAAGGACTAGTTACAACTGGCAATATACCAAAAGTATGTGAGATGGAGCTTCAAAATCCTTGCCTCCAGCAAATAATTTGTTTTTATCCTCTCCAGCACAGACCTGTTTGTTCTCTTGGAAGTCCATAGTATATTCAAGACTCTTCTCCAGCACCACAACTCAAAGGCATCAATTCTTCTTCTGTCACCCTTAGCCCTTGTCCAGCTCTCTGATGCATAGCAAGCACTTATGAAGACCGTGACCTGGATCAGCTGCACCTTAATCTCTAGACTGACATATTTGTATTTCAGCACTCTGGAGAGGTCCCTGACAACAGACTTTCCTAATCTAATTAGTCTCTTTAATTTTCTGGCTGCTAGTTCTAAGAGTGTTAATAGTTTTATTATTATTTAATTTAAAATATTTGCTACTTTCCACTTCCTTTTCCTTAAAAATAAATTCATATTTAAATTCTGTACATTTTTCATAATTCTTGACAAGATATGTTGTTGTTGTTTGGTGCCGTCAAGTTGTAGACGACTCATAGCGACCCTATGAATAAACAGCCTGAGCACTGTTTGTACATAGAGTTTCCGGAGGCAAGCCATTTCGGAAGTGGATGCCGCTCCTGCTTCCAGGCTTGTTAACAAGATATATAACACATAATAACATTTTCATAACATTTTTAATTAATAAATCTAGACTTTATTACCAGAGTATTGTTGTTGTTGTTGTTAGGTGCCATCAAGTTGCCTACGACTTATAGCAACCCTATGTACAACAGCCCCAAACCCAGCTCTATTCCGTGCTAATCCCATTGTCTCTGATACACCTACCCCCATTTCCCCAAGTCACTTAGTCAATTTGCCACCCCATCAATGGTCTTCCTCTCCTACGCTGTCCCTCCAGTTCTGATGGTGCTGTGACTAAGTTTGTTAAAGCAAAAGATCAGTAGTTCAAACCCATCAACTGCTCTCTGAGAGAAAGCTGAGACAGTCTGCTTATGTAGTTCTATTCTCTCCTACAGTATTGCTATGATTCAAATGCAACTCAGTAGCGATGAGCTGGTAGCAGGTGTGTAGCTAAAACAACAGATATTTATCTTCTCCCTTCTCAAGATGCTCATTCACTCACTACTCGTTGCTATTGAATCACAAACTGCTCATAGCTGATTCTCTATTGGCTCCTACAAATCACACAGGAGATTTACACCAGTGGATGCACACTATGAGAGGGGTCTGGCCTTTGAGTTAGCAGTGCATCTTGCTCTGGACAAGATGCTGGTAGAATTGTTTCCTCCTGGAGGTGTTGATGAGGGAACTGGTCCATGCATCTCCCTGAACTTACGATTGTTTCAAGCAATCATTAATATTCCTTGACTTATGAACGCATTATTCCTCTCTTTGCTTCCCTCTTCCAATAGCTTTTTTTCCCTTTAATATATACACCTCAGTCCCTCATAAGTTGACTAGTCATTGGATTTAGGGCCCTTTCTAAGACTCAGATGATTTCATTTTCAAGTACTTAACTAATTAGATCTGTAAAAAACTTATTTTTAAATAAGGTTAGAGTCTGAGGTTCCAGATAGACATCAAATTTAGAGGGAAACTATTCAATCTATTATAGTATATACTAGGCGCCTTTCTACTCCTTATTGTTTACAGGTGACATTAAGCAGGCTCCGACTCTTAGTGACCCCGTGTAAAACAGAACTAAACGCTGCTCAATTTTGAGCCATACTTACAATATCTGCTGTGCTTACTGCCATTGTTGTCGTCATTGTGTAAATCTCTTGGAGAGTCTTCTTCTCACTGACTTTCCACTTTATTAAGCACAATTTGTTTATTCAGAGACTGGCTTCTACTGATCACATGCCCAGAACATATGAGATGAGGTCTTCTCATTCTTGTTTTTAAGAAGCACTTTGACTGGACTTCTTCTAATACAAAAATTTAACCATTTTTTTGGCAATTAATAATATTATATATTCTTTACCAACACACTATTAAAAGGTATCAATTCTTCTTTGATTTTCCTTATTAATTGTCTAACCTTCACATGCATAAGTATTATATTGTACCATTGTGTCATAATAGATGCATAATACATTCTCCAGGGGTTTTCAGAGGTAGTGAATCACACAAGTGGAGACTGTGCATCTCTCTTTCATACAAACAAAGGCTAGTGAGTTGAACTGCAGGCCCTTGAGTTCCCATCTCCTTACATTAAGCCACCAAAGCTTCCTCACAGGCACAAGGGGGATTGAACACATCATGGCTTGGGTCTTACTCTTTAAAAGGACATTCTTGCTTCTTAGCACTTTGAAGAAATCCTTGCTGCCACAGACCTGATTTGATTGTTTTACTGCTGCTTCCATAGGTGTTTGCTGTGGGCCCAAGTAAAATGAAATCCTTCACAACATCCATCCTCTCCATTGATTTATTATGGTGTTGTCGACTGGTTCACTTCAGAAAATGTGTATTTTCTTGTTTCTGAGATAAAATCCATACTGAAATCGATAGTCTTTATTTTCTTCAGTGTTTCAGTGCTGTCCTCTTCATTTTCAGCAACCAAGACTGTGTCATCTGCATATTGCAACTTGTTGATGAATCTTCCACTATTCCTGAGGCTACTTGCTTTCTCATAGTCTTCAGCTTTTTGGGCTTTTTGCTCAATGTATTTATGTCAAACTGTAAAGAAGAAGATAAACTGCTAGATTGGACCCTGTCTATCAGGAGTTGAACTATGTGTCTTAAACTTTCATTTCTACGCCTGTGATTATAAACTCACATGAGAAGGGTTGTCCTTGCGATGTATATGAGGCAGGATTAGTGTAGGGTATATCATGAGTCAATCTCCTTTGAGATGTGAAAGAGATTAAACAAAGGAGCAAAGGAGAAGTAGAGTAAGAAAGAACCAACACACATAGAGATCGCCAAGAAACTAGGAAGGAGAAACTTCAAAGACAAAGATTATTCTTCCCAGAATATAGAGAAAGAAAACCTACTAGTGCAAACTCTCTAAATTACGACTTCTAGGCCCCCCCGAATAGCAATAAAAGAAATATTCGTTTGTTATAAAACATTCACTTTCATTATTTCTCTTACACCACCACTAGAAAACTTGGCCTAGTGGCAGGAAGCTGTGTTGCCATCTCGAAGACACATAGTTCAAATCCCATGCCCTGCTATATGGGAGAGGCTGGGCAATCTCCTCCCTTGCAATTAACTGCCTCAGAAAACCTGACAGAGGGTCAGCTATGGGCTGGTTCCAATTTCACGGTACGTAACAACAACAACATTTACTAGATGTGTATGACTTTGGTTATGTTATTTAATTATACCCAATCTCTGCTTCTGCATAACTGAAACAAGGGTAATAGCACCACTATCTAGCCTAAAGTGTTTCTACGAGAATTCAAAATGAGATGATGTAGTATAGCTTGGTTCCTATTGTTGTTGTTATGTGCCGTCGAGTCATTTGCGACTCATAGCAACCCTATGTACAACAGCCCTAAACCCTGATCTATCCTGTGCCAATCTCATTGCCTCTGACACACACATCCCGATTACCCCAGTCACTGAATCAATCCACCTCATAGAGGGTCTTCCCCTCCTGTGCTATCCCTCCACCCTCTCAAGCATGATGTCCCTCTCCAAGGACCTGTCCCTCCTTACAACATGTCCAAAGTATGTCATACGAAACCCCAGAATCCTTGCCTCCAAGGAGTAGCCTGGTTTAACCCTCTTCAGGATGAATCTGTTTTCCTGACAGTCCATGGTACCCTCAATACTCTTCTCCAGCACCACAGCTCAAAGGCATCAATTCTCCTATCTTCCCTAGTCATTGTCTAACTCTCTGATGCATAACAAGTGATTGCAAAGACTATGGCCTGTATCATGTGCACCTTAGTCTCCAGAGAGACACCGTTGCTCTTGAGTATTTTAGAGAGGTCCCTAACAGCAGACTTTTCCATCACAATGTTGTTGTTGTTGTTGTTGTTATGTGCCGTCGAGTTGCCTGCGACTCATAGCGACCCTATGTACAACAGCCCTAAACTCCACTCTGTCCTGTACCAATCGCACTGTCTCTGACACTCCCATCCCAATTATCTCAGTCACTGAATCAATCCACCTCATAGAGGGCCTTCCTCTCCTGCGCCGTCCCTCCACCCTCCCAAGCATGAT